ATTTATCAATCTATAATAAAAGACGTGAGGAAATTCTGTCTTTTTTAAAGACAAAAATTTTTGAGGCGAAATACCCAAAAAGAAGTTTGTAAAAATTAGTAGAGATTTGAAGAAAACCCTCTTCTCACATTTTTCCGCTTAAAGATTCTCAATGGTTGTACTCAAGAGTTCAGGCTTATTTTCTTCAGGGTGTTCGAAAGAAACCAGCAAAACATCGACGTTTTCCCACATTTTTTTATCAAATGCACCTACTAGAAGGTTTCACGTGCTCTTTCTGAGCGTGTTCGGTCCTTGAGCTAAGAGCGATGATTCCTACTTTGCTTGGTTGTAGAGTTACACATTTTTTTTTAACTAAACTGCGTTTTTTGAAAAGATTTAAAAAAAACTTTTCCCATTTTCCCACTTAAAAAGCCTCAACGCCTCTATTGAAGAGTTTGGACGTCATTTCCACCAGGTGTTTGGTTTAGAGCTACGAATTTTTGAACGAAAAACCGTCTTAATTTGGAAAACCAGTAACCAAATCTGGCAAAACTGGAACTTATTTCTAGATTTCCACTAAAAGAGCCTCGATTGCGTTATTGACGAGTTATGAGCGCTTTTTCCCATCTTGTTGGATTTTTGAAATAAAAAGTGTTTTTTGATTAATAAAATTTGCAAAAATTGGAACAAAACAGCGAAATATTTTCCATTTAGAAAACTTCAATGGCCCTATTGAAGAATATGCTCATTTTTTCCCAGCCTGTTTGCGTTCCGGGTTTTTTTATAGCAAATGTGTCTAAGCGTAAATGAAACAAATCGGCCGAAATTGCAACTAATTTTCAATTCTTATATTTGACTGTTCTATTGAAGAGCTAATGGTGAATTTTTCCAAATTGTTTGGTCTCAGAGTTGCTGACTTTTTAAGCAAACTGTGTTTTCCAACCAAAAAAAATTGTTAAACATTGACAAGAACAGCACCTTTTAAATGTTTTTGCTTAACGAGCCTCAATCGCTCTAATGAGGAATTTGGCAAACCTTTCGTTTCAGAGTTATCAGATTTTTTATGAAATACGCTCTTCAGCGCCAACGCCTAATTGGAAATTCGTGAAGAATCGCACGAAATCTGAACTAATTTGCCAAATTCACTACCTATTGGGCCTCACTCGCTCCAGTGAAAATTAAGCAGCTTTTTTGCCATTTTGCTTCGCTTAAGAATCACTAATTCTCCATTCAAAAGCAGTTTTCCAATTTTAAAATGTTGTTAAATTTAACAAAATATATTAAACTGATTTCCCAATTTTTCCACTCATAGACCCTCAATCGCTCTATACGCTGGCTTAGAGTGCTGGTCTTTAGCGGATTTTGTTTTTGAGCCACAAACTTTTTAAAAGTCCAGCACTCTTAAGGACCATCGCCTAATCGAAACTTAAAAAAAAACTGAATTCAAACTCAAACTCAATTCCCAATTTTTTTTAAAGAGCCTCCATTTCTCTATCGAAAAGTACCGACTATCTTTGGTCAACTTGCTTGGCTTCAGAGCTACGGATGTTTAAATAACAGTCGGTTCCTATTCTTTTTTTAATTGCGAAAAATTGAAGAAAACAGCCAACTGATTGTCCAATATGTTCACTAAAAGAGCCTCAACCGCTTCCAATTTTTTCACTTCAAGATTTTCAATCGTTCTTTTGAAGACTAAATGACTCGTTTTTCTGACTTATTTGGTTTAAGAGTTACCAATTTTTCAATTGTAAAAAGTTTTAGTTTAAAATATTGAGATATTTTTGGAAAAAACTTTTTTCATTAAAATACCCAAAAATGCTTGAGTGAAGTAAGAAGAGCTCCTTTTCTCAAGTTTTTAGCTCCAAAGTTATGATGTTATTCAACAAACAAACGCTTTCTTATTTTAAAAATTTGACCTCAACTGCATCTCAATTCTCAAATTCAAGACGCTCAAATCGCTCAATTGAAGACGTCGAGGTGTTTTTTAGCCCGTTCCACTTCGGAGTTTATTTTTCGTAATATTTTTTAAATTAATTTCGTCGTAATATTTTTTAAAGTATTTTTTTTTAAGGACTAATGGCCAAGTAGGTTTTTTCTATGACACAAAATTGCAACTTTAGATTTACGTTTTCTTAAAGTGCTTTTTTCTGAATTGCTTGGTTTCAGAGTGACGAACTTTTTAAACAAAAGTCGTTTTACAATTTAAAAAAATCGTCAAAACTTAAGGAAAACTGCAAGTCAACTCCAAATTTTTGCTTGTACTGTTTCATCATGTCGAATCGCAGCTTGTTTCATTTCGGAGTTTAACATTTTTTAAAGTAATGTTTTTAAGGACTAATGGCTAAGTAGATTTTTTTCTATCACAAAAAATTGCAACTTGAGATCTACTTTTTCTTAAAGTGCTTTTTTCTGAATTGCTTGGTTTCAGAGTGACCAACTTTTTAAACAAAAGTCTTTTACAATTTAAAAAATTCGTTAAAATTTAATGGAAACTGCAAGTAATTTCCTAATTTTTGCTTCTCTGTTTTATGAGCTGCGATTCTTTAAAAAGTCAAAGAGTCTTAAGTGCCAGTGTTGGATAATTTTTTGAACGGCCCGAAATTGCGATTTTATTTCTAAACGAGCTTCATTTAGTTCTATTGAAGCTTAAATGACTCCTTGTCTCAGTGTGTTTGGTTTTATAGTTGAACATTTTTGAAAAAAACTTGAGTTAGAAATTTTTTTAAAGTGAATCAGTTTTAGTCACCAATGTCGGATTGATTTGATTTTAAATCGGGCCTAATCGCGGCACATTTTTCATTTTTTTTTACTAAAATAGCGTCACTCGCTCTATTTAAGGTTTAAGAACTTCTTTTCCGAACTTGTTTTGATTCGAAGTTTTACATTTTTTTATAAAAGGCGTCTAATCTATTTAATCTTTTTCTAATTTAGAAAATTCGTCAAATGTAAGTCGAAGTCGAAAGTCGACCTCAATTTCTCCTTTCGACTAAAAAAGCCTTAATTGCTCTATTGGAAGGTTTAGAGTGTCGTTCCAGTTTGGTTAGCTTCAAAGTTTAATTTATTTCACGGGCCGTTTTTCTAAAAGTGTCCATTTCTAATTGAAAATTTAGTAAAATCGGGACAAATTACAGTTTACTCTTCAATTTTCCCAATTAAAAACCACAACCGCTGGCTCTAATGAAGAGTTTAGCAACCTTTTCTTCAAATCGTTTGGTTTCTAAGCTGCAAATCGCCAATGGAGTAATTTTTTTGTAAATTCAGTCAAAATTACAATAAATTTTCCAATTTCTCTCGCCGGAGAGCCTGAATAGCTCCGTCGAAGTTACTCTTTTAGTCACGAACAAGAGAGCTACTTTCGCCTACAAGCTTTTGAAATAAAAGTTGTTTCATAATTTTAAAAATTCAAGATAATTTAAGAAAAAATGCCACTAATCCTCCAATTTGTCGATTAAAAGAGCGTTAATTGCTCTGATCAAGCGCTCAGTGTGCATGTTCTGAACTAGGGGGGTTTTGAGTTTTAGGCGCCAATATCTGCTAGAAAATTGATTAAAAATCAGGCAAACTCGCTATTAATTTCCCAATTCTTCTACTCAAGCAGCCCCAATCGCTCTAATAAACAGTTCAAAGGTTTTTCTTCCAGCTCGCTTAGTTTTCCAGTTGCGATTTTTTAACTAAAACTGTCTTAAGAGTCGAATTATAATTGAATCGAATCTAATAGAATAATAATTCAGTCTTCAACAACATTGAAGAAAAACAAATTAACCCCATGCTGCAGGAAAAACCTATCAAGTTCAACACGCTGTAGCTTACCCGGGCAATCCAGCACTCTCCATCTTATTGGCCAGTTCCACGTCCTTAGAGTAGACATCAAACTGCCACTGCCGCTGTCCCAGGACACCGGCCAGGACAGCTCCCGTATGAATCCCCACTCGCATGTCCACAGGCGAGTTGGCCGTTTGTTGCACATATCTTCAAAAAACGTTTTTCGGCAAAATATCGGCGTAAAAAGGATCACTCACTTGATGGCTTTCACCATGGACAGTCCCATGTGGACACAAAGGACGGCATGATCTGGCCGCTCAATCGGAGCCCCACTGATGCAATAGTAACAGTCCCCAAGGATTTTTATGCGCAATTGTTGGTATTTCTGGAAAATCATTTTTTGCAGGCTTCAGCGGGACACTCTGTATATTACAGTTTAAAACAATTAAAGGCGCAATTAATATCAACATTAATATTGGGCAAATTAATTAAATCCAGCTCCTTCAGCGCTGGTAGTTTCCCAACAACAATCGAAACCAATAACCATTAAATCGCGTTTAAGTGCTTTTGTAGTTAATAAATTTGGTACACGCGTGGTTCTTCCCAGTTTCACCTCAAAAGAACCATGGTTTCCATCCGAGTTCAATTAGCGCTGGTTCTTCTAAGTTCCATAGCTGAATGTCGCCTGGCGCAAGAGTTCAGCAGCAGGCTGCAATCATTTCCGTAAGTATTCAAGAAGCAAAAGCTTCAGTGGCTCGAGCTCATCAATTGGTTACAGAATTGGGGCGGGTTCCACTAAACCCAACCTAAGGGCGGCTTTACAAAGGTACCCATTAGAACCAGTCGTTTACGTTCGTTTATAGCGTGAAATTTTACCCTCTAGGCTGATACACAACAAACCCTTGCCGCATCCGGATGTGCTAGCCAATAATGGGTAAAACCACCCTCAAAGGGATTTTGAGGTCGTTTACTCAATCTTTTTCAGGGAGGCCTCAGAGTCCTCGGAGTCGTCCGAAGTGGGGCCGGGGGCTAGCGAGTAAGAGTGGCACTTTAATGGCCAAGTCCAGCCCATTTATATGACTTTCTTTGGTTTGTAGTTCAACTGCTTACTCGCTCAGAAGTGCGCTACTGTAAGTATAAAATCCTAACCTCTAAAGGAGGCGCAGCAAAAATTGTCTGGAAAACTGCTCCAAGAGTCAAAGTTTTTGATTAGATAAACCGAACAGTGTATTTTCCTGATTAAGGTTTTCCACACGTTCCTAAGCTCTTAAGCATTTGTTACCACTTTTCCTAACCTGTGTAATGGTTTAAACAAAAATTCGGGAACTTCATAGGTAAAACTCAAATATCTGCAAAATTGCTCAAAACATCTGAATACTCGTTTGTTTCAATACTCAACATGTTTTTGATAAAATGCGCAACAAACTGTATTTTTTCAATTTTCCCTTTGCAATTCTAACCTCTGAAGCAGTAGAAGCTGAAATGCCAACATTTTGGGTTGGTTTGGGTTAGTTGTGTCAATGTGTGAAAATTTCGATAAGTTGAAATGACTTGACAGGCTTGATTATATGTTCCTAACCTCTGAAAAGATAGGAGCCAAAATGCAAATAAAATCTGCCTTTTGAAGCTGAAAACAGATAAACAGGTTTGAACATAAAAATTAGTAGTTGACTGACTATATTTTCCTGATGGGGAAATTAGCTAAAACTAAAAATGAACTAAAAAAGCTTCGAAAATTGCATAATCATACGTCGAACACTGCAGAAAGTCTGATTAGTCGATGGAATTTTTCGGTACAATACATCTTAAGCTGTCTCTCATTAGGTTTTATCAGTAATTCCTAACCTATGAAGCGATAGAAGCGAAAATTCGAACTTTCAGTACGTACATTTGTACAAAATATCTGGAGACTCGTAAAGACCTTTTTGATAAATTGGGTTTGCAAATTGTATTTGCTCAATACGCTTTATTTCACAATTCTAACTTCTAAAGTGGTAGAAACTGAAATGGCCACATTTTGGGGCCAATTCGGTGCCTCATAAAAAGTTTGACAATTTCGATAAATTGAACCTACTTGACATCAAAATCCACATTTTTCCATTAGCCTTTCTTATATGTTCCTAACCTCTGAAAAGATAGGAGCCAAAATGCAATTAAAATGTACCTTCTGAAGCATAAAAGACGCTGTGTGAAATTACAAAAATCAGTCGTTGACTGACTATATTTTCCTGATAGGGAAAAAGTAGCGTTTCTAACCTTTAAAAAGGTACAAGCGAGAAAACGAAAAAAATCAAATATAAAACGATTATATCTCAAAAACTGGAAAAATCTGATTAGCCAAAAGAATTTTTGAGGCTAAAGGCATTGAAAGCTGTTTCCCATTAGGTTTGATCAGAAATTATTAACCTCTGAAGCCATAGAAGGGAAAATTCCAACGTTTCGTGTCCATTCAAGCTTAAAACACGCCGTAGCTCATAAACGGGTTTACAAATCCAATCAGTTTTTGGAAGACGTTAGCAACTTTTTAATAATCCAATGGCTACTATTCTTTTACTGTATGGTACTATCAAAAATTCCGAACCTTTAAAAATATTGAAGCAAAATTGATCTGAAAATTATGGGTTCTGTTACAACTAAAACACCTTAAATCTTATAATTGTTTGAAAATATCCATTCAATTTATAAAATCTGGAAAACTGTCTTTTCCGGCTCGCCTTTGATGGGAAAATCCTAACCTCCAAAGAGATGGAAGCAAATGTGTTGAAAAAGTCAAATATTTCTGGAACGGCAGAAAATATCCGCTCATTGATTAGAAGTATTGCGTGTTTATTGAGTATTGAGTGTTTTGGAAGTTACTTTCCCTCTTTAGGTTGTAGATGAATGTATAACCTCAAAAACGATGAACCCAAAATTTGATGCATTCGTGCAGATTTCCGCCTATATCTCGAAAACGATTGAAGCTATCTGAATAAACATTAAAACATCTTGGATGAAGTATTTTAAGGGTTTTATCAGAAATTCCTAACCAATAAAAAACTAGAAGGCAAAGTGTCAAAATATTCAAAATCCTCGAAGTTTAATACCGGATATACCGAAGTTTAATACGGCAAATTTCAAACTACATCTTAAGACATTCGTTTGGCCATATAATCTTATCCGGAATTCCTACCCAATAAAAAATACAAGCAACAATATTCCTTGTAGTTACAAAATTTGCAAACTTCATTCTTCTACTGCGGGCTTTTTACCCACATTGACTGCCATTTGCAACGTTGCCAGGTTGTCTTCATTTTCCTTAAATCGCTTTAAACCTGAAGAGTCACGAGTCTTTTGGTCATATTTTAAATTCCTCACGAAATTTGGCCAAGAACTAAAACTTCGTATCATTGTCTACGCTCTACAGGCCAAATGCTGTGGATTCTCGTGAACCCAGCGAAGCTCAGTAAGTGTTTTTTTTGTCAATAGCCGGATCATTTTGTAAAAACCATTCTTTATTTGCTTTAAGCGAGTCCACTGTGCAGGATGGAATGAAGGAGTCGGCGGCTGATAATATGTAAGTGCATTTTTGATGCAGACAAAATTGTTGGCACCTTCCTTGCCTCTTCAGATCAAATTTGAGTTTCTTCGTTGTAAAAAAACGCACTTTCTAGCACTGAAGAAGTGGACGACAGCGAGTCAGCCGCAACGAGTGTTTCAACACCGTAAGAATTAGCATGGTTCAGAGAACACATTTGGCAGGTGTGAATTTTAGGGCTTCAAAGTCTGAAGAAACCAAACCATTTGAAGCAGCAGCTCGAACTACCAGCCTTGATGACACAAATGTTCCTGAAGAAGCCCCAGAAAACAAAATAGGGTAAAATCCAGTGCTTGTACGTTTCCAAGCAGAAAATATGAATTGAATTAAAACTCTTTTAGGGCCGAAGGAAAGACTCGATCCGGTCCAGCACCGTAAGTAATAACCATATAACTCTTCAGGTTTGTTAACAAATTTGCCACTTTTAAGGGCATCTGGAGTTGAGGTGGGGCAGGAAAAAGCGCTGAATTTTAGGTGAGTTCACCGTTTTTCATACTCTGGAAAATTCTAAAAGTTCCTGGTGTTTTTCGATCCCAGGAACGAGAAGGTCGTGTGCGGGTCTCCAGCGGGAAGCTCCGAAGGACCGGAAAGTGAAATTCCTGGAAATTTGGCTCCAGATGATCGGTTTGGAGCTACTGAACGCTCTGGGCAGTCGTAAGTTGAACCAGATTTTCAATTTTCATGGTTAACGTAATCCACTTGTTCCAGAGCATCCCAATTGAGGGGACTTTGGGAAGGTCGGTAAGTTTTCAAAAGTTTACATTAGTATGTAAAACGTTCGCAAACTTGACTGAGCATTCTGCTGAACAGAAGCGCAAACAAACCGAACAGAGGTGTAAATACTATTAATGTATCAAGCGTTTTTGAAGGCGTTTCGAGCGCTTTGGTTGGAATATTTGATTTATCAGCTAAGTTTCTATCGGAAAAATTTCATACTGTATTTCCTAGTTAGAATTTATCACACATTGCTAACCTGTAAAAAGGTGGAGTAAAAAATCGGACTTTTATCCATACATTTTGAACATTTCTGCACGTTTGCAACCTTTTTTCTTGTGCAGTTCTTACAAAAGTTTAGGCAAATGCGAAAACTTGCGGCAATTGTTCGGCGGCTCAACGAATCGTTTGCGAACTTGAACGAGCTTTCTGCTAAACACAAGCGCGAACAAATCGAGCACTGGTGGAGAGTTCATCAATTTATCGAAGGTTTTTCAATTGGTTTCGAGCACTATGCTTCCTCCATAGGTTTTTTTTTTAACAATTTATAACCTCTAAAGACATAGAAGCCAAAGTATGAAAACGCCAAAGCCTCGCACGCTTTCTTAGCGAAATAAGTCAAAAATCCTGATCAGTCAGGCCTCCATCAGACGCTTTGGTTGGAATATTTGATTTATCAACTAATTTTCTATCGGAAAAATTGCAAACTGTATTTTCTAGTTAGAATTTGTCACACAGTGCTAACCTGTAAAAAGGCGGAGTAAAAAATCGGCCTTTTATCCATAAATGTCGAACATTTCTGCACGTTTGCAACCTTTGTTCTTCTGCAGTTCTTACAGAAGTTTAGGCAAATGTGGCAACTTGCGGCAATTGTTCGGCGGCTGAACGAAACGTTTGTGAACTTGAACGAGCATTCTGCTAAACACAAGCGCGAACAAACCGAGCACTGGCGGAGAGTTCATTAATTTATCGAAGGTTTTTTAATTGGTTTCGAGCACTATGCTTCCTCCATAGGTTTTTTTTTTAACAATTTATAACCTCTAAAGACATAGAAGCCAAAGTATGAAAACGCCAAAGCGTCGCACGCTTTCTTAGCGAAATGAGTCAAAAATCCTGATCAGTCAGGCCTCCATCAGATGGCTCAGATTGGTTGGAATATTTGATTTATCAACTAATTTTCTATCGGAAAAATTGCAAACTGTATTTCCTAGTTAGAATTTGTCCCACATTACTAACCTGTTAAAAATGTGGAGTAAAAAATCGGACTTTTATCCATAAATTTTGAACATTTCTGCACGTGTGCAACCTTTTTTCTTCTGCAGTTCTTACAGAAGTGTAGGCAAATGTGGCAACTTGCGGCAATTGTTCGGCAGCTCAACGAAACGTTTGCGAACTTGAACGAGCTTTCTGCTAAACACAAGCGCGAACAAACCAAGCACTGGTGGAGAGTTCATCAATTTATCAAAGGTTTTTCAATTGGTTTCGAGCACTATGGTTCCTCCATAGGGTTTTTTTTAACAATTTATAACCTCTAAAGACATAGAAGTCAAAATATGAACATGCCAAAGCCTCAAATGCTTTCTCAGCGAAATAAGTAAAAAATCCTGATCAGTCAAGCCTCTGTCAGACGCTTTGGATGGAATATTTGATTTATCAGCTAATTTTCTATCGGAAAAATTGCAAATTGTATTTTCTAGTTATAATTTGTTACACATTTCTAACCTGTAAAAAGATGAAGAGAAAAATCGGCGTTTTATCCAGAAATGTTGAACATTTATGCACGTTTTCAACCCTTTTTATTCTGCAGTTCTTACAGAAGTTTAGGCAAATGTAGCAACCTCTGGCCATTGTTCAGCAGCTCAACGAAACGTTTGCGAACTTGAACGAGCATTCTGCTAAACACAAGCGCGAACAAACCGAGCACTGGTGGAGAGTTAATCAATTTATCGAAGGTTTTTCAATTGGTTTCGAGCACTATGGTTCCTCCATAGGGGTTTTTAACAATTTATAACCTCTAAAGACATAGAAGCCAAAATGTGAAAACCTTAAAGCCTCAAACGAAATAAGCCAAATATCCTGATCAGTTAGACCTCCGTCAGACCCCTAACCTTTAAAAAGAGGGAATCAAAATGATCGCCCTTTCGAAAAAGGAAAACCTTTTCGAAGTTTGCTAGCTTGAACATCTAACAACAATTTACAAACTTTGAACTCCCGAAAAGACTTGAAAATTGATCAGTTTAGGCGGAAACTTTGGGCAATTGTTCGGGGGCGAATGAAACAAGCCTTCCGCTGAATACACGGCTATTTCATGTTGATCCACTTTGAAGCAAATTTATGATTCTAGGAATCCTGGCGAGTATGTTGGAAACACTTTTGGCTCCCAACGCAACTATTTTGACCATCTGATGCCTTACAATCCATATTTTCCTGGTTATCAGTCTCCGCAATGGCCAAACTTAGTCTACCCTCAGTTTGCGCCCGGATGCTCCAGAGCCCTGGACACTGCTGGATTTGGAGGACATCCTTCGGATCCCAGCCAGATTTATTACCCTCATGTTTATCCCTATCCCTCCTATCCACTGGTTTATCCATACCACAATGGAAGAACGAGTTCGGAATAAGTAAGTTTAGGTCTGGCAACATCAGATGAAAAGGAAGGGAAACATTTTTTCGGCCAGTTTTTTCCCAGTTGGTGTCAGCTTGGGTAAAGGTCGATGTGTTTTTTCAAGCTTCCAGTTCATTTTAGATGGTTCAGGCCGCCACTACCATTGTAGACCTTATTCTAATATACGGTGGCTTACACGATGAAGTTGTTCATTTAGTTATAGTTTCCATTAATAAAGTTCGGACAATTGACTACATCTTACCTCTGCAAGCTTATCGAATCTAGCGAACAGTTCATTGAGCATTTTCACCAATTCTTGAGCGGAATACGTGGAAGAAATGGCGGTGAATCCGACAATGTCCGCATAGAGGATGCTGCAAGAACAGCGATAAGTTAGCGGTTTCGATGGAGCCTTTTTGGGCAAAGCTTACCTAACGTTTTCGTGGCGGCTCATGTAGATTTTCTTAAACTGGCTATCGGCTTGATCCAAATCCTTCCTCATCTGCACAGCCACATGCTCTGGCAACACCGAGAGCAGCAGCCTTTCCTTTGAAAGCAAGAATACCGTGCATTTTTCAAAAGGATTTTTTATATGCATTGGAAGTGTAGAATTCGAGGTTTTGTATGAAAAATGGTCTAGTTTGGCACCTGGCGGAGGTTTTTGTGGTGGTAAAAAGTCTGTTTTAGCCCATGGGGCCCAGGGATCATAAGGGATTTTCCTGCGTTTTTTTGCACAAAACTGAACGATTTTGCCCATTAATTGCCTCTATTTTGCCGGCTATTTTTATACCGGATGTACACTTTATTTGAAGATTTTGTTATTGTTTCCGATCAGGATCGATTGGTTTCAATTTCCGGGTGGAATTTTGCATTTCTGTTGGCCTGCATCATGCACATTTTTTATAAGAAATACCGAGAAAACACCGTGTTTGTGTAGAAATTGCCGTTTTTCATCAAATTTAATTCACACACCAGCAGAGAATCAGGGGCCAATTTATCTCAAGATTTGTATGGACAACCGATTAACCTCTCAACATTTCTCCACTAAGGTGAAGAACTGTTCTTGTGCCTGAGTGTAGGCCTGGGTAACTCAGCGAATTTTTAGGAGTTAACGCAGTGCTACGCAAATGGCTTGATGCGCCAACTCAACGCACCGGCACAGTAACTCAGCTCAGTTGCTGGAAAAATGTTGATGCCTTTTTTTTACTTGCTTGTAGATTTGTTTTAAAGGGCATTTATTAATAATATTTTCTAAATGTCTTCAAATTTCAGAATTTTCCAGTTTTGGCCAAGTTACTTTTTCTTTATTAATTATGAAATAAATTTCGAATCCTTCGTCGCTTTGTAAGAAGTTTTGAAATCTTTTTCCAGCTTAGAATTTGGAACAAAAATCGAATTTTCTATGAAAAATGAACAGAATCAGCGAAAGTTTATAACAGATTGTAGAGTTTGTTAAAAAAATGTGTTTTTTTTAGATTTGACTGATTTTTCTTTGCTTTACTTTCTACTGAAAAACGCTCTATTTTGTACAGGACAAAAACGGAAATGTTTTTTATGTTTGAAAATGTTTTCGATGAAAAACCCCGTTTTTCATCGAAAATCATTAAGGTTTTCTCCAAAATCGATCACAAAACTACAAGTTTTTAATTGGAAGCGCAAAAAATCATTATTTTCTGGTGATTTTCTTCTTTTCTGACAATAATGGGGTCTTTTCAGCCAAAAATTAAAAAATTAATTTTGCTAAAAAATTCGCCTCATTCATCGGTTTGCATCAAAATTTAGAAAACCCATTTCAGCTTCGAATTTGGCACAAAAACCAAATAATTTTCTTCAGTTTTTTACCGAAATTAATTGTGATTCTCTTGAAAAAACGACCAGAGAGCAAAAGTTTCAAAGATTTTTTTGGAAAATTCGCCACCTTCATCGCTCTGAAGATTTCAGGTCATTCCAGTTTTAGCAAAGTTTCTATTAAGCAATTCTTTCTACGCAAAAATAGCATTATTTTTTAGTTTTACTCAAAATACTGGCAATCTTCAGGTATGTTCTGAGAAAAATTATAAGATAAATTTTATTGAAACACTCGCCTTCTTAACCGCTTTGCAAAAATGTTTGGAAAACTTTTTGCAGCCTCGAATTATGGACAAAACCCTAATAATTAATTATGGGTCTTTTTCCAAAAATATTTCCCCGAACTGAAAAAGTGAAAGTTTATAATCATTTATTTGGAAAACTCTGGGAAACTGGGGTTTCTTCACTTTTATGTCAATATTTCGAAACAACATCGTCTTTAAACAGAAAAACCTTGTTCCTAACGTTTTGATGTAAAATACTGGCAAAGGAATCTTTTATGCAAACAAATTAAGAGATGGATTTTACAAGAAAACTCGTCGAATTTCTTTAGACTCAGTTCTGTTGCTGGGAAAATCTAGATGACTTTTTTGAGTTGTTTCAACAAAGTAGGTAGTAAAATATTACTCAGAAAAAATGTTGATGATCTTTCTTTAAATGTGAAAATTCCAGTCTTGGATCTCGTAAAGCATTAATAAATAACTTATTAACCTATGAGTTAGCGCTCTCAACTCAATAGCGCAACTCAAAGTGTTACCCAGGCCTATTTGAGTTCGACGCAGGTAAATAATCGGTGCGAAACTCTTGTGAATTTTTAGGAAAAACAATTTTCTGGCAAATTTGATGCAATACTAGTTTTAGTAGTTGTGAAAGCAACTTGTCGAAATGGAGAAAACTCCTGAAATTAGCCGCTAAACATCTGAAGTTCCAAGTCGGACAGATTTCCTTAATAATTACTTAACAAAATTAATAACAAAAACTGCATACAATTCAACAAAAAAACGTGAAAATTTAGCAAAAACGACCTGAAATTGCGCAGCCCAATCAAGTGAAAGACAAATGTATTCCGGGACGAAATTGCTCAGAAAATTAGATCTGAAAAACTGTATGTTTTCATTGCTCTGAGCCCTTAACATAAATTAAAAAAATGAAAAGTTGCCTTTAATGGGAATTTAATCATCAGGGACTCTTTAGGTTCAATAAACGTAGCGAATTCGATAGCGAACGCTTGCGAGAGTTCGCGACTGCTTTTGGTTCTTTTAATACTCAAGACGATTTATAGCGGCTTGGAGGAGATTTCTTGATTATTAGTTTTAAATATTGACGCGATTCAAGAGAAAACCCTTCAAAGATTATACTTTAAAGCCTACAGGTGTTGTAGAAACTTCAAATTTAGTTTCCAACAACTGTAAATTCGAAAACTTCTAATGCAAGCTTTTATTAAGAAAAAGTGTTGGTGAAACCCCCGGCTATTGATGGTGAAACTTCTGAAAAAATTATGATTTTTGAAATATCGGGAGAATGGTACGATGTATTGGATGGCACCCTGTAGGTATATTTTTTGAGAATATCGTTCTGAATCAACAAGCTAATATAATAGCTTTAGTTAAAAGCAAATATTTAGAAAGTGGTCCGAAAAACAAATTAAAAACTTCTTCAAATACACCATTCGATACACGCATGAGCCTAAAAAAATGCTAAACCTTTCAAGTTCCGGATTGTCCAAAAATTGGTCACAATCCGCAAAAATCCGGTTCTCATTGAGCATAAAATGCCCATTGTGCGCCTGATCTGAGTTTTGTTTACATTTGCGGCTACTTTCTCAATAAAAAAAAGTGAATCATTCAGACGAGTAAACCGGTAAAAGGACGATTATCATGTTTGTACTGTTCAAATCGCCAGATTTTTTTGCAAAACTCGCAAATATTTGATGTATTACATGCGAGGATCGAGCTAACTTGTCAGTTTCTTTGCGTGTCTTGCCAGTCGTGGTCATATTTAGTCGAAACATTGGCCTTTTGGTGCCGAAAAGTAAAAAAGTGTTGTTTGGTTTATTTATCTAAAGTGAACTTTTGGTGCTCGTAAATCACATCCGATATGGAAATGGTCCAGGATGGAGCCCCAGCATGCAGACACCTGGTAAGATAGGTCACTAATATACAGGGTTCCCGAAAAAATGTAGGCATTTTGCAAAAACACGTTTTTTTGAGAGCAGTTTGGATCAGATATTTCACGCCTTTTTTACATTTCAATTTCAATGGAGCTTAGAATTATTTCCTGGACACTAAACACCTTTTTTGTTTCCAGGTGACGCGATGCAGCTTTCGGTAAGTTTGGCTTTACATTTTTCCTAGCAGATCGATTTTATCTGAATTCTTTATTGCGCTCTTTGAATTTCTTGCTTTAATAACGAACAGCAAGCATGTAAAACAAGCGTCGATTTTGTGTGAATTTCAGTTTCTGTTGTCTTGGAAGGTAATTTTCTGCATTTATTGGTATTTTCTTCTGTGTGCATTCTCAATAGCGATTTGTTCGATTTTCGAAAACAACATTTTTCACTCTGGTTTTCTACCTTTACTATTTAATTTAGTACTACATCTTCTTCTAAATTGCGATATCGATTTTTTCGTGCCTGACATTTATTAATATTTTGCGACTTATCTTTTATTTTAACTTGGAATCTTCAAAGCTCGATATAAAACAACCGTAAATTTGGTTCCTCTTCCATCAGCAGCTTAGCCATAATAAGTATCTAAACTTTGACTTCATCGGCCGCTTTTTTCAATGTACGTTTTTCATGATCTCGATGATGGAAAAATTGATAGCCAACGCTAGTGAGAGTTTGCGATTGTTTTTGGATTTTTTTTATAATAAATTTTAAAAATAGACGACTTGCAGAGATAACAGGTACAAATGGGTTTTTAGAGCCAAATGTTGCCAAGAACAACTTTTTCGATTGGAAGCTTCTTGTTCGAAAAATAAAACGTGAAAATCCATAAAATTCCGTTTCTCGCGCCGCATAATTTTGTGCTGCAAAAACCGCAAAATGCCCACAAAATCGACTAATTTTACCTCAATCAACATGTTTCGCTTATTTCGTCATATTCAAGGGTAATTTGGTTCCATTGAAGTTCACAATCTTGTTACATTTGAGCCCCAAATGCGGAAATTTGGTTCGAAATCCGAAAACTTCCATTAACTCGCTTAATAGGCRAAAATATAATTTTCCAATTTTTATTTATTTTTTGAGATACTTTTTATGATTTTTGGCTTTGGAGATACTTTGGCTTTTTTTAAGCCACATTTAATTTTTTTGTCAAAAACACTCTTTCTAGTGTCTTGGAARAAAGTAGYCCTGGATCGCCTGGATATTTTACAGAGAGCAAACTTTTTCGSTAAAAAGTTTYGTTTGGGACAAAAAAATWAAAATGTTAAAATCGAGTAAAATCMATTGGTGAACGTTAAATATTTGGATGCAAAAACAAAMAYTTTCGTTCCCACATTYAGGGCATCTTTTATGGATAAAACAAGCGAAATTGCCATCAGTTTGTCCAAGTGGGTTGGTTTGTTTCGGCAGAAATTGCAGAGATGAGCTAAGAARGAAAGCTTTGCAAACGTTTTCAAAAAGTTTAAGGCTTCTTCAAAATTTCAGGTTTCCAGTTTTAACTAAGTTTTTATTAAGCAATTCTTTCCACGCGAAAAACGCATTATTTATAAGTTTGCCTTAAAAACATTGATACTCTTAAGCTGTTTTCCGGGAAAATCTACAACTGAAATTTTACTGCCACTCTCGCTTCTTTAACCGCATTTTAAAAAAAATTCTAGAACCTTTTGCAGCTTGGAATCTTGGACAAAACCCCAATCTTTCGTGCATTTTTTCCCAAAAATATTAAATTTCGAAATAATTGATATTAAATATATTTAATATCAATTATTTGGAAAACTCGTCACCTTCGTCGCTGTGAATAATTTGTTTTTCTTCACTTTTTCACAGTTCAATTCAGGTTTCTTCACTTTTAAGTCAATATTTCTAAATAAAACTAGCATTTAGCGCCTTTTTTCCAACGTTTTACTGTGCATAAAAATTAGCAGATCGATTTTACAAAAAAAAACAGTTTGGTCTTCTTGATCGTCTTTTTCGAATACCCGTTTTAGCTTCTTATTTTGTTGTTTTAACTTCTGTTGTCTTTTAAAAAAAAAATAAGGTTTTCCCAAAAAACGATCAGAAGAAGCAAAAGCATATAATTAAGAAAAATAACAAAATCTCTTTGGAAAACTTGTCACCGTTTTAGGCCAAATAATTTTTCAATCAACCAAGCAATCGTTTCTCCAGAAAAGGTGATTCAGTGCATTTTGACGAGTTAGCGCAGTGCTGCGCAAATGGCTTTGTGTGCCAACTCAACGCACCGGCGCAGTAACTCAGTGCCGTTGCTGGTAAAACGTTACTCATAAAAAATGTTGATGACAAAGGCAAAGTTTTTCGCTGAAAAGCTTTGTTTGAAAGAGAAAAAAAGAAAAAAACGAAAAAATTTTCGTTTCCATATTCAGGGCGTCTTTTATAGATCAAACAACTTGTACAACAGAACACTTGGTTTGGGTTAGTAAAAGTTAAAAAGAAAGTTAAATCTTCAAAGGTCCATTGAACAATAAATTTTCCACAAAATTGAATAATTTTACTTCAATTAACGATCTTCGGCGGTTTATTCAGATTTCCTGCCAATGTCCAGTGGAGATATTTTTTTAAGTTTGGCTCGAGCACCATGAGAAAAAATCCCAGAAGCCCACTTATCAGTTGCCTATTTTTTGGACTTTTTCGAAAATTACTTACAGCGGACCCTGAGCAAAATGTTCATTAGGGAGCCTCTGGTTGGCCGGATGTTTTATCAATTTTTCAGAATTGTTTCCGATGGGAGATTTGGTTTTAGCGAAAAAATTAACATGTGAAAATCTGTTCAACAACCGATAAAATTGGTTGTCAATAAATATTTTCCAGGTTTTTCCATTAAACTGTTTTTTCCTCAGTGACTGTTTCATTTCTCAATTTTGCTGTCAATTCGAAGCACTGGCGGGGATAAGAAAAAATTTCCCATTCGAGCATCAGGAGAAGGAAATTTGGCTCTAAATGCTTAGAAAACTAGTAGCTTTCCAGAAAATCTCAATACCACTTGTATGCACGTTGACTCGCTCTATGCTTTGTTTTTGCCATTAATATTGAGCCCTTGGAAAAATTCGGATAAGTAACTCATGATAGCCTCAAGAGACTTATCAAGAACCTTCTTTTTTGAAATACTGCTCAGTTTTCAAGCAAAAAAATGGGAAAATCTGGGAATGTGTGCAGGCTTAACCAGATTTCATCGGTTAAAACACCTTATCGTCGAAACACATGTGGGTTTGTGTGTTTCGGAGACAATTTATCGCAAAATGTTTAAAACGTGCAAAACAAGTGAAAAATGACAAATAGATAACACAGTAATCAGGCGACAAATGGCAATCAAAGAGCGAAAACCGAAACGCAAATGCAAAATACCGTAAAATATTCTGCCGAAAACTATTTTAAAAATGACAATTTTTGATCTTCCCCTGTATCTCTTAAGGTAGCAAAAAGGTTCAGTTTTAACACACCCTGTACATACTATAAAGAATCATATAAAAATAAAGCGTTTTAACCGAAAAAAGTCTTACCTGCTCAGCGCTTTGCTCTTCAATCACCAGCTTGACCTCCAAAGACTGTCTTGTTTCCAAGAAGGTTCTTCTCTGCTGTTCGTCTTCGGCTGTATAAGCAACGGTGGCAAGAACTTTGGCTACTACCAGCAAAATTCCGGTGGCTCCCAACTATAAAGAAACATAATCATTTTTTCCATTTGGTCGAAGTTTCCACAAATTCACTTCCGCATTTAAATGCCCCCAAATATGGAGACTCACTCAGCTCGGAATTTCTGTTAAAAAAGTCGAAATCCATCCCGCCATGAATTTATTAATGCAAAAGCAACACATGAGGCGATTTTTCTAAATTAGAAACTTTTAACGGTGTGTATGTGTGTCTCAGATGCGATTTGAAAGGCTTTCAAGTCGTGTAGCTGGGACAGATTTCCGATCGATCCCCGTTGAACTTTCGACCTTCTGCTGGAACTTTCATTAGGTGTTTGCTGTAATTGTAGGGCTCTTGGGGTCTTGTGAAGAAGCCTGTGATTTTCTGCAAATTTTCTTTATTTTCGTTCAAAATTGACCTCGATAGGGCAAGGGAAAGTAGAGTAAAAAGATCGTAAATTGGTCAAAAAAACCCAATAAGATTAATTTTTTGCTCTGGTCGGTTTGGTCAGACTCCACTCTTCCATGAAGAAAAAAATTTCGTCTGTGATTCACTTATTTTTTTGAGGCGTAAACGTTTGTTTGGAACCTACTTTCATGTGCCTACAATAAGATGTTTGAATTTATCCCATAGGGTCTCCCTCATCTTTGGGATTCTTCTCCTGTAGACTTGTGAACTTGTTATTTGCTTCTTCTCGAAAATGTCCACTATCAGGGTTTTTCACTTTGGCATCGTTGATTTATCAACTTCATTGTGTTCAGAGGAAGTAAAAGTGAAAGAAAACGAAAAACCTTTGAAATAATTTTCGCGGATTTGCTATGAACTTGGAACTTAAAAAAAAACTTTCTTAAACCTCCAACTGCAAAACAGCCTCCAAACGATCTTGCAAGCATTGAAAACTGATTTGTGATTGAACTGAGCGCGTTTGCTTTGGCCACTCAATTAAACTAATTCTAGAGCTTTTTAATGCAAATTTTCTGTTCGAGAGAACGTGGTTATTAATGCCGATGCAGGCAAGTAGCCCATTGCACCCTTACGAGAGCGCATCAGTTATTATTCCAGCTACCATTAAATGGAAAGGTCATCTAAATTTATTCATGAGAACCGAGCTTTGCCATAATGGAAACTCAGCTCTCCTGAATAATTAAAGCGTCGGCTTAAGCAGCCCATATTTTATTAAGCGGTGCTTGTTTTAACTGCCAACTTGCAGTTTTCTACACCGAATGCTTCTATATCTGGATGTTTAAATCTATTCGGACAAGTGCTTTTGCTGTGTTGAGCCCTTTGGGCACGCCCCTGCTAAAAGAACAACAAACTACATGGTTCTTTGCACAACAAATACATTAGAGTCTTCTGGATGTCGGAATCTACTTCGACATCGATTAGGCTCTAATAAAATTGTGGTAGTTTGCATTTAGACCAGTTGAAATGGACTCGCTCTCAAAAAGAGATCTTTGTATCGAGTAGAAGCTGATGACGTGGCTCTCCAAATCACCCGATCTAACGCCTTTAGATTTTTATGGGTGGGGGCACCTAAAAAACATTGTGCCTGAAAATATGTAAAAACACGCGGGAATTTAAATGGCTGTAAAGCTGAATGAAGTTCAAATGCTGAAGGCGATAGATTTGGGTGCAACAGTGTGTTAATAATTTTGAAAAATTTAGTGGCTCGACAGATGAGACCAAAAATTCGCGTCAGCCACAGTACAATGTGTACAAAATTTGATGCAAAAGAGGTTTTAAATATCATATTTTTCAAATGTTGACACCCTGTATCTTTTTTGGGGGAAAGTCTGTGACCTCGGTTTTTTTTACTGAAAATCTGAATTATTTTTAACTGTCAAGCCTGTACCTGCTTCTATAGATTTTAGACAAGTGCCGGTAAAAATTTTCTAATAGAAAACTTTCAGTAACCGGTAAGGACCACATGGAAAACGTTGCTGAAATTCCAACTTTAAGAAAAAGTTGTAAAATAAATTTTATTAGAACACTCGCCTTCGTCGTCGCATTGAAAAAAGTTTCTTAAGCCCTTTCCAGCTTCGAATTTCGGGCAAAAATCGAAAAAACTTTTATCGAAAACCGATTAGAATAAGCGGGTTTGCAATAAGTTTTTGGGAAAATTCGTCACCCGCATCCCTCTGAAGACGGTAGAGTTTGTCGAAAAACTCTGTTTTTTTAGTTTAACTGAATTTGTTTCTTGCTTAACTGTCTACTCAAAAACGCCCTATTTTGTAGAGTTTTTGTAGGAATTTTACAAAAACTTTTTTCAGTCTTGGATTCGGGACAAAAACGATAATAAATTGGTCCCGTTTTCTCCCGCAAATTATTAAGGTTTTCTGAAAAATCGATTACAAAACTAAAAGTGTTTCATGAAATGCGCAAAAATATAATTCGCCTCATTCATCGCTTTGCAGGGAATTTTGGAAAATCCTTTTTAGCTTCGAATTTGGCACAAAAACACAAATAATTTTATTTAGTTTTTTTTAGCGATAGTAATAAAGATTATCTTGAAAAAACGACCAGCTAGCACAAGTTTACAAAAAATTGTTTCGAAAATTTGACACCCTCTTTGCTCTGAAGATTTTTGAAGTTTCTTCAAAATTTAAGGCCTCCAGTCTTTAGGCCTCTAGAAAAATTCAGTCAAACTAAAAAACATATTTTTTTGACAAAGTGGAGTCTTCAGAGGGATCCGAGTGATAAAAATCTTATTTTTTTCGAAAAAAAAAAGACAACAGAAGTTTGTTTCGATTTTATAAGGAGTTTGGAGGCAGTTTACAAAAACTTTTTTTAGTCTCGGATTCGGGACAAAAACGGATTATTGAAACACTCGCCTCCTTCGTCGCTTTGTAAAAAGGTTTGAAATCCTTTTCCAGCTTCGAATTTGGGGCAACAATTTAATATTTTTTATCGAAAAACGAACAGAATAAGCGAGTTTGCAATCACTCTTTGAGTTTTTTTAGTTTAACTGATTTTTTTTCTTGCTTTACTTTCTACTCAAAAACGCTCTATTTTGTAGAGTTTCACTTAAAAATACTGATTATCTGGAAGATTTTTGTATGAATTTTACAAAAACTCTTTTCAGTCTCGGACGCGGGACAAAAACGAAAATAAATTTGTCACGTTTTCTCCCGAAAATCATGAAGGTTTTTTCAAAAATCGTTAACAAAGCTAAGTGTTTAGTGAAATGCGCAAAAATATAATTCGCCTCATTCATCGCTTTGCAGGGAATTTTAGAAAATCCTTTTTAGCTTTGAATTTGGCACAAAAACCAAATAATTTTATTTAGTTTTTTTAGCGAAAATTCGACAACCTCTTCGCTCTGAATGTTTTTAATGTTTCTTCAAAATTTCAAGTCCCCAGTTTTAGCAAAGTTTTTATTAATGAATTTTTTCTACGCAAAAAACGCATTATTTCCCCCAAGTTTCCCATAAAAATATTGAAAATCTTCAGCTGTTTTCTGTGAAAAACTATAACTCAAACTTTATTGACACTCGCCTCTTTAACCGCATTGTAAAATATATTCTAGAATCTTTTGCAGCTTCGTATTTTGGACAAAACCTTAATCATTTTTCGTGAATTTTTCCCCAAAAATATTTTCCCGAACAAAACAGGACAAAGTTTATAATCAATTATTTGCAAAACTCGTCACCTTCGTCGCTTTGCATGATTTCTTTTTATTCAAGTTTCTTCACTTTTAAGTCAATATTTCTAAACAAAATCCTACCTAAACAGAAAAACGTTTTATTGGGCATTTTCATGTATAAAACTAGGCCGTCGTCTTTATAGTCTTTATAGCCTTCTTGATCATCTTTTTCGAATACCCGTTTTAGCTTTGAATTTAGGATAAAATCAAAACAAACTTCTATTCCCTTTTTGCCGAAGAAAATACATTTTTTTAAGTTTTTTTTTCAAAATTTAAGGTCTCCAGTTTTTGCAAAGTTTTTATTAAGCAATTGTTTCTACGCAAAAATACGCATTGTTTCCAAGTCTTACTTAAAAGCATTGATTATTTTCAAAAATTACAACTAAAATTTCACTGATAGCCTCTTTAACCGCATTGTAAAAGTTTTTCTAGTATCTTTTGCAGCTTTGAATGTTGGACAAAGCCCTAATCAATTTTTCGTGGATTTTTCCCAAAAATATTTCCCCGAACAGAACAGAAGAAAGTTTATAATCAATTATTATTAGGTGACGAAAACTCGCCACCTTCGCCGCTGTGAAGAATTTGTGTTTTTTTTAAGTCAGGTCTCTTTACTTTCAAGTAAATATTCCTAAACAAAATACTCTCTAAACAGAAAAACGCCCTTTTCCTAACGTTTTACCGTGCATTTTTATGTATCAAAATTAAGAGATCGATTTTACAAGAAAACTAGTCGTCTTTATAGTTTCGTCTTATTGAGCGTCTTTTTCGTATACTCGTTTTCCTTTCAATTTAGGATAAAATCGAAACAAACTTCTATTGTCTTTTTTTCCGAAAAAATACAGTTTTTAAAGTTTCTTCAAAATTTAAGGTCTCCAGTTTTAGCAAAGGTTTTAATAAGCAATTGTTTCTACGCAAAAGACGCAGTATTTCGAAGTTTTACTTAAAAGCTTTGATTATTTTCAGCTGTTTTCTGTGAAAAATTACTACTAAAATTTTACTGATACTCGCCTCTCTAACAGCATTGTAAAATGTTTTCTAGTATCTTTTGTAGCTTCGAGTTTTGGACAAAACCCTAATAATTTTTGGTGAATTTTTCCCGAAAAGATTTCTCCAAACAGAACAGGAAAAAGTTTATAATCAATTATTTGTAAAACTCGTCACCTTCGTCGCTGTAAATAATTTGTTTTTTTTTTTAAGTCAGATTTGTTCACTTTCAAGTCAATATTTCTAACAAAACTCGCTAAACAGAAAAACGGCTTTTTCCTAACATTTTACTGTGCATTTTTATGCATACAAATTAAGACATCGATTTCACAAGAAAACTCGTCGTCTTTACAGTTTGGTCTTCTTGATCGTCTTTTTCGAGTACCTACTTTTCTGAAAATACACAGCAATTACAATTTTAATGGAATTGTGGCAATTTTTACAAATAAGAGTGCATAGTTTGGTGAAATACTCCAAATTATGGCAGATTAGTTTTCAAAAATATCTACTCTCGAAACAAGGCTTGATAGAGCGATGTTCATTGCACAACTGACTAGAGCATATGTTCCGTTTCTTGTGCTGAAAAACTTGTGGCCATTGAAGTTTTCGCTGAGTTTTGACGATTTTTTACAAGTATGCTTGCACAAGTAATGCCAAAATGCCCCCAACATCAAACCAGGTTGATTCAGAAAAATTTATTATACGGGAATAACATGAACACAAGCGATGCGTTTTAGAACTTTGAATAGAGCGCACGTTCCTCTTGTACTGAAAAACCCCTGCCACAAGCAGTTTTCGTTGAATTATGGCGATTTTTTACAAATGCGATTGCATAAGTCGAAAAAATTCGCCCAACATCAAAGCAGATTGATTTTCCAAAATGAATTTTTCGGAAACCCGACAAAACAGAGCGATGCTGGTTACACCCCTAAGCACTTTCCGCTATTAGTGCGGAAAAGGCCACGAAAAGAGGGGCTTTTGTTGACTTTTGGCGATTTTTTGCATTTAGTATTGCATG